TGCTTCTACCGGAAAACCCCAACAGAAAACACACTCTCTCCCTCCCAGCTTTAAGTGTGGGGTCTAGGTTTGCTAGAGGCAGGGTAGCTTTCTGCTTGGAGTCCGCTGCTGACAGCGGAAAGAAAGTCATTGTCAGAGGAAGAGCATCTCTCCAAGAGCTACCTTGGCTGTCAGTTGGGCCCGTGCCCTCATCATATGAATGCCGACAGACAAATGGGACGCTAAGGGAAAAAAAGTACTCTACATGTAAGGATTAAAAAAAAAAAAAAACATTCAAGATATACCATTAGGAAACAGACCCCAAACCAAAAGCGCGAGGCAACCGTTCTCGCATTGAGTTACTGAAAAGGATTCTTGCAGGCCAAGTACTCCTCTTTGGATTGGTAAGCTTTTAGTTGTTCTACTATAGCTGTAAACATTCAATGGTATTTCCAAATATCATTGAACTTGGCGCTTACAGGAAAAGAGGTATCAACTTGAACTCCATCTGCCAGCTGACAATGAAAGGCTGCTTAAAACAGGATACGGAGAGCTTGCATAGTCTAATTATGACTCCTAAACCCTCTCAAAATAGAATTTTAAGTAAATGAGTTATGACTCCAACGTACGCAAGACTGCAACAGCATGAAGTGAACAGCATTTCTGAAGCGACTACTGCTAAGAAACACACAAGCTCTTATCCAGCTTGAAGCTAGTTTATAGAGCTCCACAGAGGGTACTCCTGTCTTTACTTACTTCACCAGCAAATAATCTCACACCAGCAAGACTGGACTCACAAATACAGCACTAATATTAGAATCACAATACACATTCATAAATCACAAAATCTGGGATTCACAAACATACAAAAGACTTGGAGATTAGTCTTCTGTTTGTACAGCTCGGTGATCATTTACACTCAGGTTTTCCGAAGAAAGGTGAAAGAAACGAATTTGAGATTAAGTTCTCATATTAATCTTCAGGAGGACTGTGGGCAGCTGTTGAGTGGAGAATCCAAGTCATCTGGCTTGCTGACAACACAGAGAAGAAACCACCAAGTTACACCGGCTGATGCACAGGCTCATTTTTCCTGGCGTTTGTATCGCTCATCTAACTTGAGGTATCTATTCCTCTGCTAAATGCAGTAACCACTAGTGTTCATTCCAAAAATACAGTCCTCCCGAGCACTGGCACAGTTATCAATGTTCCCAAGGCAACTATGCCATTCTGGAGAAGGCAGAAGGAAATAAAACACCTATCAGTTGTCAAGAAAGACACACCGGCTGCAGACCTGACTTAGCTGCCAACAAAACCGACAGCCGAGTTTTCAAAGAGACCAATCAAAAGCCGATCACTAGCACGAGTTCAGAAGGGTGACATTCACAAGGACTGAAGTTCTACTTCTTCACAGCCACCCTCCAAACTCCACGGCTACAGAATCCTAGAGAGAAACAGATGCACGTCCCTAAAGAGTTGGAGAATAAAAAGTTTATATACAGGATTATAGTAGCTCCAAAACAGACGGAGACAAGAAAGCTGCACATTTCTTCCCAGAATGGGAACAAAGGCATGGACACCTGTGAGATACACTCAGATCAGTTAGGGAATAGCGTGCAATAGTCTTTAACTGTGATACGATTCAAGCTGAGCTCCAATACTCCTTGATCATGAGTAAATGGGGAATTGGCCAAATGCAGGTAAGACTAATAGCACATGAGTCAATATATGCGTTGTGTTGATTATGTGAAACATTCTAATTCCCTGAGTCCAGATATATATTTTGCAGCAGAATTTGGTTCCTAAATCTAATCTTTATTTCAATGGAAAAAACTACCCATGCCTCCTGACTCCAAAACTGCAGCTAGTTGATGACATGGATGGACAAGAAATGAAGATACCTTTTTCTATGAGCTTAAAGTGATTTCTGTTTTGCAAAATCAGGGAAAAGAATGACTGAAGACACAGCCATGTGTATCCAACAGCATTAATGGCCCCATTAATGCAAACCACAAACACTGCCCCACTTCTCCATGGAAGGCAAGAGACCCAGTACTGTCCACTATAGAGCCATAGCTTCCAGCTTCCAAACTTATTTCACCACAACTTCCTCTGGGCATACACTAGGGACTCATTTAGCTATTAAAGAAATAGCTAAGGTAAAAGTGCAACAGCGTCTTTTGAAAATACTCATAATTTTTGTTCTTGGGTTTTCCTAGAGTTGTGACAGAACTTTAAGACAGCATTGCACTAAGAAAACAGAAAAATGTGCTGTAGATTTTAGGGCCAACTTAGATGTGGTGAAATGGGTTATAATAAATACTTTCATTCAAGAAGAACAAAACCTTTTAATCACAGATGAAAACAAGAATGCGGTTCCTACCCTAACAAAGTGCAGAAATAGCAGACCACATTTACTTTTTTCCATTTATTGGCACTTATTTGAAAAATAGCATAAATATTCAACAGAAAAGAGACAAGTTGATCCACATCCTATTGATGCATTTTTTTTTTAAAAGACCAGAACAGATTATGAGGAGGTTCATTCTTAACAAATAAGCAAGATTTAAAAAAAAAAAAAAAATCAGTCTTGCCATCACCACAAAGAGTGAACGCACCAGTAAGTCTTTGGCACATATGTGACATTGCAAAACTAAGCTATGTCATCATAGAGAGAAAGCAAATAGACATTAAACACAGGCTTGTCTATTTGCCACAGGGGTAAAGGGCAGTTTGAATTAAAAACAAAAAAAACACCCACCCTGCAACACAGACGTTGACTGTTACAATAATTTAAGAGGAATAAAAGCAGAAGTAAACAGTGTCATATTTTACTTGAACTGAGTAAAACTATTAAATAGATTCTACTTTATTTCTGTGATAAGGATATGCTGAAACTGGTCATTGGTCCTCAGATCACCAGGCCTTCGACTCTGCATCTTCCATTTCTACCTTTGATAGCTGCTGTCAATCAAAGCTTCATCCGTGTGAGTTTTTTACGGCAGAGTTCAGAACAGGCTTCTCTTCCACTTCAGGAAGTCTCTATTCTTTTCTCACTTTATTATACATTACAAAGTTTTAGTGTTTAAAAATAAAACATTTTGCTTCATTATTAACCATGCGGGAAACACCACATAGTACAAATGTGTACACACATACAAACAAGGCCCCAGATGGAGGGAAGTTCAATTGCATAATAAGAGTCAACAACCAAAATGAAGTTGCCACCAGAAAATTTGAAACAGCTGTCTATGGTGGTTTGCAGATTTTTCCTCCTGTCTTGGGAATTTCAGGGTTGATATCAGGATGCCTCAACCCAACTGACTTTTCAAATATAGTACAAGAATCCATATCAAATGACTAAATTCTAGGCTTCTAACCACCACTTGAAGTTTACATCAGCAGAAATAACTTGATGCCATTAAGTTCAGGAAGTGATATCAGGAGATTAAACACTGCAAGAATCTGCAGTTAGGTGTTCATATTCAATCACTTAAGCCTGTATAAAAGCATTCAAGGCCCCTCACTGTTTTTCTCCAACAGAAGTCATATATGAAGATGGATACGGTCTGTTAAAATAATGCACTTCTGAAGCACTCAATACTAAAATCTTAGGATTTAGTGTATTGTTCCAAACATTACTTTTTTTCCCTTCCCATTAAAAGACCTTTAACAGAGCATCTACCACTCTAATACATCATCTAATGGGGAAAAGAAACCAAAATGCCCCTAAGTACCCAAAGAATGTTCTACACCAAATTTGGATTTAGTTACAACAGCAGTCATGATCATGAATAAAATCCAACATATAAAAATGACAATTCACCAACTTGTTCTTTTCAATCCAACTATAATACAGAACTGATTAATAGCCAATCCTCAGAGAGCAGAAAAATCTTTTTTTTTTTTCCCAATACTTCCACTTTCCTTTCAAGAACAAAAAAATAAATAGCTAACACTCAGGGAATAAAAATATAAATTATTAAGATGCTTCACTGGTTTCAGATTGAGGACAAACATGAAAATTATCTGTTACTACATCAGCACCATTTTATATTAGCGAGGACACAGCCTGTTGGAAAGCCAAGTTTTCTACAAGCAGAATGTACATATAATATTTGTAACTTACACCAATGAGACAATACTCACTGCAAATCAACAGCTTGTATACCGATGTTAGCATCAAATATATTTGTAATTCAAATGCTTACCGTATTTTAGTAAGTGTCATACAAATTACTAGAAACATGAATTCTTCCTCAAGGAACTATTCTGGAAGTTTTCTAGAAATAATGACATTTCTGGAAGTTCCTATGAGGAACAATCACATAAAGAACGCAGTTACACACAACAGAAAGTCTTCTAGATTTCCAGATGTTTCTTGGCGCCCATTAAGCAGATTTATGTTTCTCAATTAATAGGTAACTTAGCTGTAAGATCTACTGGTACAAACGGAGATCTGGAGTCAGAAAGTGAGACCGGAGAGCCTGTGTTGGTGCCAACCTCAGCTGGTGAGTCACACGAAGAGCCTGCACTGCTTCTATTGTCATCAAGACCACGTGACGACAGACTGAAAACAGAGTGATATCAAGATACGAGAAATGAGGTATTTAGTTTTTCCTGAAACATTTCAAATACCGCTTTCCATTCACTGTAAAATGATTCTAAAAATAAATGTACATCCTTGAAGAAACAGTAAGCCCTACAATTTGAAATTAACTGTAATAATATGCCTTACAGACACTTCCAAACAGACAGATAACATTTTGCCAATTTTCTCCCTTGGTTCACCCAGAAATAGTCTACAGGCTAGAAACCTCAGGTGGACCATGTCTTTGCAAGCCCTCTCCCATCTTCTATGGGTCCCAGCCTAGCATCTCTACATACCCAGATGCCTCTTTTCTGAGGAGACTCAAAGATAAACTACATATAGTTCTTGTACCACTCATTGCTTATTTCACAGGACACGGAAAAATTTAACTGTAGGTGTTCTACCACTCAGTGACAGCTTTTAAGTGTTTTTCAAAAATGTACTCCTAAACCAAGATGCAGCAACTGAACCTGCACTGCTGTGCCTACTGTGATTAGGCTGGGGCTGCGGGGGTATGCTTTTAAAATACCTTGAACACATCCATTTTACTATCACCGTTGCAACGGGCTAAAAGCTTGCACACAGCGATGTGCCTTAGCTGGGAGGCAGAAAGGACAGACATACTGTAAACAACTCTGACATGATAGTTTTTAGTGTGCACACCCTATGTGTTATTAACCTCTTGACTAAAAAAATAGTGACGGATTTTGCTTTAGTGTAAGTCATTACACTTCTGTATGTAGTACTTTTTATCTCCTCCCAGCCAGGGAAGGTCAGGCATGGACTCATTTTCCCATGTGACTAAGTGCAAAAAAGCATTAAAAAAAAACCCAACACATAGCATTAACACTCACATTTGATTGCAACTTGAAACTAGACTCCAAAAAATAGCCAGCCATGAGGTATCTTTTCCTAAACATGCTTAACTCCCACATACATAAAGCATGTTAACAGAAGATTATTAGTCAGCCCTGGAAATTCTAAAATTGTAGTGAATGTTATTGCGTATTTACTGTAATACTCTCAGTGCTTCAAAAATACAGGATGTTTGAAGCTGGGTTTTTTTTTTGTTATTAATACAAACACGCTCATTGCTAGATTAAAAAAAAAAGTATATATTTCTAGTGCCTCTGATGAATTTCAGACAACAGCACAGTATTACCATCCCCCAAGGTCTGTCTGATGTGAAACTTCAGGGGTAAGCATGCTGGAGGATCCTTGGAATAATCTTTTTGGATGATCTTCCATCTCTGTTACACCTTAATAAGAGATAAGGGGTGATAAAAGAATAACTACTTCTCATTTAAGCTAAATCTATTTTCAGTGTATTTCTACAGAGCAAACCAAATAGAGGTTCAAACCCATTACAATCTGTTAAGTATTATTTTAAATTTAAAACATAAATGTTTGATGCTGAAATTTTAAGAGTATTTCCGGGAAACCTTTTAGTCCAAGCACTGGGAGAGTTTAAAGTTGTGAATTGAGGTACTAGATATTGAGGAATTACATATCAAATGCCTATTCTTCAGCAGTACAGAATAATGTTTTTGTTTCAGTTTATTCAACTAATTAGTTCGCTGACTAGCTCCATCAAAGTAGAGAAGAGAACAAGGAAAGCTTGTTTTCCTCCTGCAGTCAATTAAAACAAGGTCCAGGATTATCAATAAACATATACTGACTGTGAATTCTAAATACAGTAGAAAAAAAATGGACAGAGATGCACTTAAATAGGCTATGGCACAACTCAGATGGAAGTATTTCAAAACTTGTTTCAGAGCCAGAAGGGTTCTGTTACAAAGGTGAAGTGTGCAGATGCATTTAAAAACAGATGCAACAAAATCTGAAGAGAAATTTGAAGAAAAATGCAGGGATAGAGAAACAACTTCTAAATACAGTTATAAGGTGTCTACCAGCTTCTGAATCAGCTTGTATTGTAGCACTATGATTTTAAATCCACAGTATTTGTGCACTTCAGTTAGCCAGGACTTTCACAAATTTCTGTTTGTGAAACTAAACACGCTAATAATTGTATTTCTTGTTTTAGTAAAGAGGTTACATTAGTTTCTTATCAGATGCATACTACTACAGCAATGGAGAGGCATTAGGACAGAACAATTATTAGAGTTTTACTGAATAGTAAATACTAGTTCACCAGTGTTTCTGTTTTATCACTACGAACAGTTCCATGTATTTGGTCATTGTAATAGCCTCTATTCCTAGTCATTCTTTACAGTCTCAGCCAAATGAGCAGAATGAGGAAGAAAGCTATATGAATTACTATCACATTAACAACCTGACCTATTATAGTAGCCAGAAATAAATACTGTACCTTTTCTTTTTATTGACCCAAGAACGCTTGGTCGAATGCAATTAATAGGACTCTGGCTTCTCCTGCTAAAAGAAGGCAGATGCTACACTGATGTGTCATCATTAACATAGGAAGCCCCAAAACAAAGAATCAAAAGATGTTCAGATAACACACAACTAAAAGGAAAACGCTAAAAACATGAGCATTAAAATAGCCTATTCAAAATAACTTGTTTTGCAGACAGACAGACAAGGAAGCATAGACCTTAACAGAAGTTAAGTCACATTGTTTCACAACTGGGACAGGCTACAAGCTCACACCTAGGTGCTGACTACATCTCAGTTGACAGCTGTACTTTGCTGAACTGTTTTGGCTTGATCAAGTTCAATTGTGCCCACATCACTCAAAACAATATCCAATACAACTGAATCCAGAATGCCTAATAAACCCCTAAATCCATTTTAATTCCTTATAATTCAATTATTTAATGTGCGATTAAGAGCAATAGACTACACTGCAAAATCAGAGGTTGAAATGCAGCCCAGCTTCCTGATGTTAAGACATGAGGATTTTAACAAATACTCAGGGTGTTATAAAATCTAAAGTGTATATGAATATATAAAGTGATATTCAGGATTAGAAATCAAATTTAATTATATTTATGACAAATTCTGAGATTTCAAAAGCCTACTGTGAACAAGATAGGCCAACTTCCTATTATTAACAGAGTCTGGTACTTACCTTGGAAATCGCCTTGTTGGACTTGGGCTAGGACTTGGAGGTAATCCACTACTACTCACCAAACTTTGCAAAGATGGTGAGAAACATTGCTGAGAGCAAAATAGTTTGAGTTATTTACGTATAAACACTGTACTATACCCATATAGTAACAACTGGGCCTAATTACAGGTAAATAAATAACCCACTGTCAATTTAAAGCAACCAGCCCATCTGGCTGGGTATACCGAGATACCATTTGTGGTTAAGAAGGAGAGAAAAAAAAAAAATCTAGAAAAAGTTGGACGGATTTCATTTTCATGTGGAATACATGCAAGTTGACAAGCATTTATTTTGCCATAGTCTGATTAAACTAGTTTATAAAAATGATGATGTATGCCCCCTCCTCTTACTCTAAAGGAAAGGCAAATAAAGAATAATAGTAACAGGTTAACAGTCAGACACTCCACAGAAATTCACATCCACAAGATATGCAACCGCTAGCTGCCGTTTTCTGTTTCTGGATTTTAGTTTTTTTGTTTTATTCTCCAGTTTTTTGCTTACAGCTGAAGTAGAAAGGAGAAGGTAGCTTCATCTTTTGCTATTAACTTGGTTTAATTTATTTAGCATAATCCAAGATAAAACCTTTATTACTACATTTTGCTTACCTTCCCTATTCCTCTGGTAGGTGAAGGAGCTGGAGAAACTGGGATAAAGTCTACTTGCTTTGGTGATGACGACTTTTCACAATCATTGTCACTCTGTAAATAGTACATATAATTAAGGATCCTACGAGCAAGTATTTTAATATAAAAATGATCGTTTTGTTTAGAATTGAATAAGATTCCAAAATTATCCTCGTTCATGTTAATCTTTTTTTTTTTTTTTTTAAATGCAGCCATTTATGAGGAGATATATTATGTGCAACAAAAAAAAGCCTTAAACGTTATTTGCTGAGTACCAGAAAACGGAAGAAAATATGGACAGGCAGGTATCTGTGCAATTTGCTTTTTGAATATCACCCCAAGAAACCCACATATATCCTTGAACAACTGATAACTTTATGTCTTGTTAGTGTGAAACACTGCTGACCAAAAGCAGCAATATATCCTCATCATTTTTAAGTCAAATTATGTAAGAAAATGTTGACATGAAAGTCTCTAGTGTCCTAACACTGATAACAAAAATTAAATCATGAATGTATTACCAGGCTCAAGCTCTCCTCCCATGACTGGCTCATCTGCATTGCTACTTGCACTTCTCTATAAGGAAGAAATGAAATGTGTTGTCTCAGGCCCGTAAAATATTTCATTAGGTATACTAGTATACTAAGTATACTTTGCCTTAAGGCTCACCTTTCATGTACTGTTTCTCTGTTTATCAAATTCATTCCTTCTTCCTAAAAGAGATTAGCAGATGAAAAATAAAGACTTCAAAAAATAAAAAAGGTTTGCTCCAGCAAACCAGAAGAAATTTACCTTCAGTTCACTCAGGTATGGAGTCAATATAATTCAGCTAACTATCTTAAGTAACAATAATCTTAAATTGTTTATTATATGAAGGCAGATGGTGTGAAGGAAGGTAAAGACAGAGCGTTAGAGAAGAGAATTGTAGCCGACTTAAGAGAAACCATCACATAAAAAGTATTGCTCATGGGAGTTGGTTGTTTCTCACGTAGTTTTTTCATTTTCATCACCATTCAAGAGATGGTTACAAAACTGAGCAATAACGTGACCAAAGCTTTTACATATGCTAGAGTATCTTTATATAATCTTGCATAAAATCATTTCATAAAGTAGAAACTATTCCTCCTGGCTCCTCACTTCAAGAGGATAGAAACTAACATAGGTAATCCTTAAAAGCATGACTGGATTCTTACCTTACTCTATGTATTAGAAACTAACTAGAAGCTGTCAGCATTTCATTTCTATACAATGCTTAGAAACTAACTAGAAGCTGTCAGCATTTCATTTCTATACAATGCATTGTATGTAATAAATTCAGGATTTCAGTGGGGTTTTTTTTCCCTAAAACATCTATAAAATATTACTGAAATGGAACAAAGGTATAAAATTACACAAACTAAATATTAGAGCAAGCATAAACACATTTGATTCAATCCCCTCTTAAGGCAAGAGCCATTTCTTAAAACTAATTGAATACTATCCAGTGTGTTCAGTGAAGGACTAATTCAGGCTAGTTCAAGAAGAGTTTAAATAACTAGTTTCACTGTCTGCAATCCTACATAGGAAGATTCTTCCTACATTAGTTCAATTGGTGATTATTTGCTAAGATTTGAAAAAAAAATCAGAAGTACAACACATGGTCCCCATCTGTGCCTGTAAGTATACATGAAAGAGAAATTCGATTAGTGAACTTAATGATCAAACACAAATTAAGAAATGTAATTGTTCACTTTAATAAATGTGCATATGAAATAATTATTAATACAAAACATTTTTTAAAATTTTGAAACATCAAAGACTACTTCATGTAATAAATATAGCAATAGAAGCACAGTACTGAGTTCATCCCCTTGCTCTCATCAGATTGGCATATTAATCCAAACTTTATATTAATAAAAAAAGCTCTCCAACTGACTTGAGTGCTTCAGAGTCTCTTTAAGCCAGTAAATTATTTACATAGTGAAAGCAAGTATTTCTTTTCTACAGGATTACTATGCACCTTTAAAATCTAAGGTGGGAAGCAAGAGCACATACAACCCACTTCAGATATCATACCCCAAAAATTCTGGCTGAAGCATAAATTGATTTTTACAGAGTACAAAGAAAGAAAACAAGCCTATCCATTTGAAAACTAGCAAGTTAAAAAAAAAAAAAAAACAAAAAACCAAGCATCTTCAAGTCAGTTTTATAAGCATTCTACTGTCAAAAAGTCAATATAAAAAGTGGAAGAGCTACAAAAGTTTGCGATTGCTGTTTCTGAAATGTGAGCCTGTAGATTGTGGTCTGTCTGGTGGTAATGCTATTTAAGGCAACTCAGATATTTGCCACACCCCTCTCCCTTCCTAGGTATTTGATCTGGTGCCCTTCCCCTCCACTGACGCTGTAACAGCACAAGTACAGTGACCTGGATAAGAAAATTATACAGATGAAAAATAGCCCAGCCAGAAGTCTCAACTATTTTTTTAGCCAGATTGCTTCCTTATCCAGCTCATTTTTTGGCTGCACAAATTCTTGTGCCAACACAAGGAACGCGCTGTCATTGGCCCTGAATATTTACGCTGGCACTGCAGCCAAAAACTCTGTGAAATTTTACCCTAAGGTTTTACATTGAAAGCTTCCTTGCTAAAATGTCCGTTATAAGATTTCTCTTCTCTTTCCATTCAAATCTTCTTATCTCTATAAGATACGTTCTACCTTTTTATAAAATTTGGAACTCTGAAAACAGATACAACGTTTAGTTTTGAAAGCACTTTGACGTGATAGACTGCTGCAGACTCTATACTACCGCTTCAAAGCAAAATCAATAGTCATTTGAAGGATGTTGCACTTTAATGGGAAAAAAAAAAACGAAAAAACTACAAACAACTTACTGTTTCCAAAAAATAACAACATGCACTTACCTGTTTGATTTGATGAAGACGGCTGCTAGGAATACGAACAGGAGATGATGGCACAAACTGCAAAACAAAGCCACATACAATTGAAACGTTCTTAAAAAACACAGGAGAAGGGAGGAAAAGGTGTTAGGATGTTAGTATCCACTCTAAAATGCTATCTCAATCTCAGAAAAAAAAATCTCCCAGATGAAAAGCAACTTTTCTAAGATTTGCAGAGTATGCAAACTATATTAAGTACTTACAAGAACATGATAATATATATTTCCATATTATACTGTTTCGCATGCTCAGAGAGATGCTAATGGATATCAACCTGCTTTCCACTTCAGTTCCAGACTACTAGAACTCATAGCCTTCTTTATAGAATTGACTTTTAACTATCACACAGCTGCCCTTAAAAGATATGGCTGCACAAATATTTAACCTGTTTTAAGTAGTTCAGAAGGCTCCCCAATAGATCCTTTAAAAACACAAAGCTAAAACCACACATTGTGCAGAAAGTTTTCTGGATTGTTACCGGCCTATAAATGAGTATTCTGACAGATGAAAAAAATTCAGCTATCAGAGGGCTAGCAAAGAGTTAAATACCTTCCTTAAGGTTTCTCAACGGCTTCACCAATTCAAGTGATGGAAAATGAAATCAGATACGATATCACTAAAAGTACTTTTCTATTAATTTTGTCAGTTTTGCATCAAGATCTTCTCACTGGAAAATTATGATCTAAAACTGCACATGCAAAAACAAAACAAGTAGTTAAAATATCATTTCCTTTCATATATTTCCTGTTCCTCAAACATTTAATCATCAATTGACATTTGTCATTATCCCTTCTGGGATCAAAAATTCAAAGCTTTAGTCAGTTTTACCTAACCTCCTCCCCTCTGTAAGCCTGACAACTCCTCCAAATAAACGTGTTTACAAAAACAACGTGTTTTTGTAAAATGGATGTGCTCTCGATAAGAAAGGTGCATATCATTACTGTTTATCACACTTTATGCAATATGAGGCTTCATCAGCTTCAAACAAAACATTACTAGAGCTCTTCATTATGCTGAAATTAGAGAATTAACAGTCATTCACTTATCTATTTACTGCAGCATCTTCTGATCAGTGCCATGGAGAATGCAAAGATCTTGCTGCCTTATACAAAAAGTCATGGCAAGTTATCATAGATCATTAACATGAGGTCATATATCCAGAATCTTCCCTCTAAATAAATATACATATTTATATATTTTTATATCAAAACGTATATACACACGCCACACTTCTTTCTTTCAAAAAATACTAGCCTATCACACTCACACGTAGAATGTCTAAAGCTTTCATCAGAAGTCATCATAGTATATACTACTACAATCTAGCAGTTATAACATTTCGATTAGCTATTTAAGTCCACTTCACACCAGCTTTACTATTATATTGAGCTTCCCAAAATCCTGCGCACCTAGTAGAAATTCCTCCAAACTGTAACAGCCAACATACACCTTCAGCTGACCTCAATTCTCACACAGAGAAAAGGCTCTGGACAATACTACATTCCTGTCCATTCACTCCATCACTGCACAGTAGAAATGCATTTGTTCCACTCTTTATATTTTAATTTTATAACTATGATCCACTCACTCTAAGGTTTAACGTGAACAGAATACATACCAAACCGGTACGTAAAAGTAAAAAGCAGAAAAAGGCAGTTAACTATTCCTCTATAGAATCTAATACAGATTTGACTAAATCTAATCCTGAGGATCCTACATTTTGTTTCCAACAAGTCATGATCCTTGTTTTGTCAATGCTCAGAAAACACTTTTCCCTGCTAATAGTCCTTTGATTTAATTCTTGTAAAAAGAAATTATCAGAAGCCTCAGCAGCTTTTAAAGGATACCTGCTAAAGCAGATTAAACTCATTTGTTAAAATTATGCTTCTTAAATCCGAGATGTTTTAGGGGAGCACAAACTTAATAGAAAACATTAGAAACTATTAGAATATCCCGTGGAAGAGAAGCACCTTCCCATTTCTCCCTCTTCCGGTATGTCACACAGGTGCAGTATCTCTCTCACAGAGGGTAAAGTTTTACAAGTGTCAGTCTGGCTGCAAAGCCAAACTAAGCAGTCACCTGCCCCAGGCACCAAAGCCCTTCCATTTCCCTCCTTGCACTGCCCCCTGTCTTCTGCCAACACAGCGGATCCTAACAGGGAACTTGCTCAGCTTTTTTAAACAAACCAACCAACCACTTTTGCTGAAACAATAGCTGAGCATCTAACCACAGTCTAAAACGCTCTGCTTTGAGAAAACCGTTTACTCACTAGATGCCACTGATATCTTCTGGGAGGAAATAAACACTCAATAACTGAACATAGTTGAGCCTTCCTTGGCAGTAACATTTAGCATCAAAAAACTGCAGATTAAGACATAGTCAGAATGGCAGAGCTGCCCCTGCAATTATCATTACAAAACAGCTGGAGCCTGGGACTCAGAGAAGTTATTCAAAAAAATAAAAGAATATTTTAGAATTTAGCTGAGTAGCTGGAACTGCCACCACAACAGCCCTGAAGATGGAGCTAGAATATGACCTTCAGTTATCACCAAAGCATTTTAACAACTCCCATTATTCCCTCAAGAGTTAACACAACAGATTAGAGAAACAGAATTATTAATCAGTTTTTACTAAGTGCTACTAAGTATTTTTCATGGTTTAACATGGCACAAAACATTCAGCTGTATTTATAATACTAAAATAACGTTTTAGTCACTTATTGAACCTTTTCTCCCTCCTTATTACAGTTTACACTGTAATAAAACTTGGATTTGTTTTTCTAATTACAGAAGAAAGTGGTTTTTGAAATATACTTCATTATCCATCTGTTGTAAAATCACACCTACCAGAGCTCATGTCATTTAGCACCCTAGAATAGCTTCTCAAACATCATAAAACGACACTTATTCCTTTGCTATAGCAAGAATATCAGGTGCAGTTAAAGTCCTTAATGCTGAAGAGGTTAATCATCTCCCAAAAATGGTTTATCTATAGCTGATCCTGGCTTAAGACAGTAGAAGGATGAGATGATCTCTAAGTTCCTTTCCAATTCCATCCTGTCCTTCCTATGAGGACCATAATTCAAAGTCACTAAGAATTAGTCAAGCTATTTCAAAGTGGACAAGGTGCTGATGTAGGGTTCCACGTTCATTTTTAGCATCAGCAAAACTTAAGCTGTATTTTATCAGCAGCTGGTCAACAGGGGTGAGGAAGAGAGGTAACTTTTAGTATACTTTTTAATAAACTTAAATAATTAATAAACTTAATAAAGTGAGATGAAGAGTTAAGAACACCTTCCCATGAGGAAGTGAACGCTGGTTCAGAGATGTTCCTTTCCGATCAGCTAATTAAACTACAAATCATTAACAGCTAGTAGTCACTGCACCGGAAAGTGTTAGAGCTCACTAGACCTTTCAGAAAACCCCCTGTGAAGTTATGCTGTGGTCACAATACATACAAGCATGTTCTCTCAAACAGATTTTGCACACGTTTTAAGCCATTCTTCTGAGTTCCATGAACTACAAGCTCACGAACTGCACCTCTGCAAGGCCACGTGGGTAAATCCTCACAGCTGCTGGTGTTTCCTTCAAGTCTCTGACTTGTGCTCCCTAGAGTCTAAAGGGAAAGGAAGAAAGGAGTCCCACATCGCTCCAGGCGTTAAGATGAGTGTGAAGAAGGAGCTCTTCATGCCGGAGAACACAGGGGGGAGAGGAAAGAGGGGAGAAGAGACTTACCCTGTTTTCAACCTCTTGATCTTGAACTACAACCCTCTAGCTTTCGATACTCACACTGCCTTCCCTGAAAAGCTTCCACTTCAGACATGAAAACATAACCCAAAAACGTAAGCTAAACATAAGCTGCAAAGTGTCCTGAAAATTCCTTTGTTAGCTCTAGAATAATTTTTGTTCTCAAGTACTGCATTTCTCGGGCCACCGAGTCAAAATTGTTCCAATCTGCTGTCGACGATATTCAGAAGAAAGTCACAAAATCTAAAAAACAACAACATCTCTCTGTGGTTCAGGACAGATAGAAGAGCCGGTCCATCACTGAACTGTCTTCTGGTTCCCAACAAGCTAACAAAGAACAAAACCCTGGGCCTTAATGGGCCAATGCTCCCTAAATTAGCTTCCTCCCCCTCCCCAACAATTAATTGAAGATCTTTAAGAAGGAAACCCAGTAAGCTGAGCTTTCGCCTTTGTTTCTCCTTCAGTCTGACCACAAGTATAAGCATAAGCACCCTATGCTGCAACCCTAAAAATGCATGAATAGAAACACTGTTGCTTAAGAGTTCTTCACCAGAATTTGTTCCATTACGATTAATTTTTTTTTTTTAAACAGGAGACATGCTAAAGGAGGAGGAGAAAGGTTTTCCCAACAATCTTTCCAAACCTTTACATAAGCATCCCAATTCTATTATAGATGCAAGTCTTTGCTGAAGTAGTTGTATGTCCTAATTTTAAAATAGAATTTTAGCTAAGGGGCATCAGCCAAGAAAACAATAGAATAGTAGTCTTCAAACATTAACACAGGGCTAGCGGACTATTTCTAAAGCATCTTCAAAAGGTAGCTAAAAAAAGGATAATTGCCATTAGCACTATAGGGGACTCCAGCTCTGCAAAAGTTATGGGTATCTACAAATCAGAACGCACTGAAAACTTATATGATAGCACTATTTTGTTTCTCATACTTAAAAGAGAACTAACACTAACCTCCTCCCCCCCAACACGTCCTAATTTTTCCAAAATTCTAATAGTGATCTGTATGCAGCTGGCTTCTTACCCTGTGTGTATCTGTTTCATAAGTCTGTTTTAGAGGAAAAGGGGAAAACTCTGATTTCTGGTTATACGTCAAAGTATAACCAAAACGAATTTTTTGCCAGAAGAAGTAACTACCCCACGTACCTTATCCCTTCCAATAAGGGCTAGCAAACCATTCCATGCTATCTTGCACAGATTTTCTAAATCAAAGTCACACCTTTTCACACTATTCATAAGGTACTATTATACAAGAAAAATAGTATTTCCTCTGTGTTGAAGCACTATATTTTTACATTTTTTTTTTTAAATCAGACTTTGAGAGCTGTAATAATTCAGTAATTCCATTTCAACAGAAGTTGAAATCACAAATGAACGTTTGAGAGATACGGAATCATTCATTCTGGAAGTCTCAAGATTACGTTATACCAGTCAGCTAGGTGATTGCTTTTTTTTTTTCTCCTTAAACATCAGAGATGATTAGCCCTTTGGTTACTGAACAACAACACATCTTGTATAGTTAGTTTTATTTGCAAAATACCTTTCTTATTCCATGTTAGAACATCTGCTTGCATATTATAAACAAAGTTATGATCGCAATGAAATATAAGTGCTCTCTAAGGCCAAATGGTCTGTAAATAACGTTTCACCATGGCTACGGCATACTAATGTCACAGTTTAGAGTCTTGTTTCTGAAAACACACAGTATTAGTTTCATAGCCTACAATCTCTTTTTTTTTTTTTTCTTTAATCCCGTTTGTACACTTCTGTTTTCGGCCTAATGTGGTTGGTCTAATCGTTTTCTTACCAGACTATGACGATTCATAACTGTTGTACTGTTCCTGCGGGTTCGCAAAACGTTAGCCTGGAACACCTGTGAATTATCACTGTGAAAAGAAACACTTGTCAAATGCAAGAGCCATTTCCTCCCCATCAAAAAGTACCTCTTAATATAATCTCAGTTTCAAATTCTAAGACAGCTATCATTTCAAGGCAAAGCATTCGAGAAATAGGTACGTAAGTATTCTTTCAGTTTGCCGGCAAGAGCCGAAAACAAATCGCTCTTCCCCCAAGTCCCAGCTACTTCACTTCATGATGCTGATTAATCATACCGAGTCATCAGAATGACTGCACAATTGTTAAGACTGATCATTTCTGTGGGAATTTATTAAATTTGGAACGGCTACAGACTGCCTATCGCTTCAAACAAGTCATTCAACAGAACAAATTTGTAAATAGCACATAATCAGTAACTGAAAGTAGCTTCAATGCCAGTAGAATCAAAAATACAGTACTTCAGTCAAGGTGATTGTTAAGAACATTTAATAAGTTATGAACTTTTCTTTAGCAGAGGTTAAATTAAACATACTGGAAATCCAGTTTTGAAAGCCCTAAGACTTTTGACCACAGTCACGTCTCTAATCAGGAAGGAACACATCCATTTAAAATAAAAGAACTTTATTTGTTTGATATAACATGGTCTCCTTTCTCCAAGAAAACATTTGAATTCTCTTGATGCCTAAAGTAAGTTTCTCCTGCCATCACCGGTTTTATCAACAGCCATTGATCTGTGCTTAATGAACAAGACTACAGAAATTAAATGAATGTTTACGGTCATTAGAATAAAAATTCAGAGCCACAATCCTACAATCCCTGTGCCCAAAAAATCACTGAGGATCTGCATAGGCACACATATCCAAGTCTACAATCATAATTAGAACCAAATTACAAAAAGCCACTGGGTTATATCCTTGTCTCAACTGCTAGCCTCAGATGAACAAAAGCACTACATAAAATAATATTTCTTAAAACTAACCTGACCAATTGACCAATAGTATTAGCTTGTCGCAAAGGCTAATAATCAAACTAAACTTCATTAAGTGTATTTTAAAGACACATCATAAACAGAGTCCTTCAGTTTAAAATACACCAGCTAGGCATGCATGTTTTAGATTTTTTTTGTAAACTTATAGTTAGATAAAAGGTAACAAATAAGCTTCCCTCGGAAATAAAAAGCTAATATAAACTCATCCAAAATAACTCTAGCCACTATTACAAGCACCATCTTTTGCACTAAGATGAATGCATTGACCCCTTTTTCTAAAACATCAAGTACAAATGAATAGGCATCATTCACAACTTCCAAAAAAAGTTTCATTCAGGTTATATCTACAAGAAAGCAAACAACTGTGATTTGATAGGAGCTGGAACAGGAGAAGTTTAAGGGTCAACGGTCTGAAGTTGAGAGATGAGATTTACTGCCTGAGGCCAACAGTTACAGCTTCTCTTTAGTACACATGTACTGGTACACAAGCACATGGCTTAAACAGTACGTTCTGAAATCCAGGTTTTGAACGGAGAAAACAGCTTTGAAAGAGTCCCTAGTCCTTTATCACAAGCCAAGTCCAATATTCAGTGCTAAATGGAGAAGAAAAGAGGGAGAGAAGCAAGCCCTACAAGTATCTTTACCTTCAAACTTCTGTGCGAAAACACCAGAGCTGGTCAGATCTCAAACTTCACTTTTCACAGAAAATTCTGATGGTTCCCATTAAAAGTCATTTTGATTCAGCATGAAAACAGGAATTGAAAGTTCTGTGAAAGGTAAACTCCATGATCTAAAAAAATTTCACCTACAGACGTTCTCTGGCTCCAAGTAACCCATTCCCAAAGCTTCTCATTAAATCTCTTAATGAAGAAATCAAGACAGTAGGCAGTGGTAGAGCAGAAAAAGCAAGCTGTCCAAGATGCTTTTGTTTCTGTTTACCCTACAAAGCCACTCTGGGAAAAACTGAAGTTTCTTGCCAAGAACTGCCATCTTTCAAAGACAGCTGGAAAATTCCTAAGTAACAGGCAAACCACTGCAGCCACCTGAAATTAATTTAATGAGATTCCCGTTTAATTTGTATAAACACCTGCTATATGTGCAGTTTCAAAGTAAGAGCTGGGGCTTACCCTTCTCCTCCGTGCTCAGAGACTGAATGAAATAATTTGTTTACAGCATGGCTACAGGATGCTTTTTAAAAAGCAAACAAACAAACAAAGTGTCAAGGGTCTCATAGTTTATAAGAAAAAAGTTATAGGGCTGAGGAGGTGACGAAATATGTCTATGTCTCAGATACATAATCAATTTACCTGCTTGGAAAACTCCCTGCTGAAAAACTACTATTCACAATAGAGCCATACTCCACGGAAATATAAAAAGATAGATGTTTCATTACAGTTATATGTATATTTAAAAAGTGCAAATATGTTTACTTAACATTAAATGATGACATAAGAGGCAAGAATTAATATTTTCTCTGAATTGTGATGAAATATTAGCCATTTTGGTACAGAGGATTTATGAGATCTATTCATCACTTGATATCTAATTCCTTACAGAAGCATGACATTTAATTTAAAAAAAAAAAAGTAAGAACTTATCATGCATTATACTATCTTTTACAAAATTTCATACCTTATCCTCTCCCACACTGTAGTAGGCATACCACAAGTAGCAGCACGTAGAAGACCACCTTTAAGTTAGGTGTTAGCCACACCATGGATGGTGGATGTGGGGGCACCTCCCAACTTTATGACAGCTCAGAAGAGGCAAGAAACAGGACTTCTGCGTTCTAGACTTACCATACATAGACCACACGTATCGTGAGAGCTTTCCTCCTAGCCCGTGCCTGGGACTGCCACTGTCTCTGCCCTGTCAGCTGGGGAGACCTTGGCCTGGACCACAGCCCAAACATCCAGCCCACCCTGCAAGTACCAGTCGCCACCGCGCTGAAGGCACTATCCAGGCAAAACTGTTTGCACAGCCCCTTGTGTTTCTCCTAGTGTTCTATCGGTACATCATAACCGGTATCGTCCTGAATAATTCACAAAACAACTGACACACGGTTTTACACTCAGCCTAAAAGTGCAGCTTAGGTATCCTTCGGGGTCCCTCCAGCCAGGCCCCTCACTGAATTAGCCTGGTTCCTCTGAAAACGTTTACCGTGCCAGTCTTACGTAACGCAGGGAATGCTCTTTGACAAACGCGAACCGTTACAGAAATCACAGAAATACAGCACTTCATCTGGGAGGCTGTGCACCCCTACAGCGCTCGCCCCAGCCGCGCAAGGGGACAGCAGAGCGGGATGGAAACGTCTCGAGGAAGCCGCGGCGTGGCCAGGCACCCCCGCACCTACCCGGGAGGGTACCTTACCC